ACCTATTTTTGTCACAACTGCTGAATTGCTTGGGCGACTCGTATCTCCACCCGAGCCATCGTTTCTTCATTTGCAAATTCATTCGTTCCTTCATTCATGTATTCATTCTACTATGTGACAGGCTGTGGCATAAAGTACCATTTTTGAGCCACTCGATTGTTAATGGATCTTCTTAGATATAAGTTTTAAGGCCTTTCTTGCTCACCACTATACACCCAGCAGCCAGTGCGGGGCCTGACACACAGAAGCCATGTTATTAGCTGCCCGTGGATGGTGGATGGATGGCGATTCTGGTTTTTGTATTCGGCGAAGACATTTATCCTTACTCAGAGTTCAAGTTCCTACCCTCTTCAGGCCCCCAGCTCCACCTTCCCTTATCCTCACATGCCAAGCCTTTCTGAGCCCATGAAGTAAAATGTGCTCTAAGCCAGAATCCTAAGAGTGGGATTAAAAAATAATTGAAAGTGTATCAAAACAAGTTAATCATGAGAAATGGCTTTCCAGGGGAATGAGGTGTCAGCGCTGGAGGCCAAGGACAGAGCGCCAGACTCTAACTGCCATGCACTCCTATCCACCCCACTACTGTGCTGGGCAGAGACCCCACTGGGCCTGCCCAGGAGGTCACAGATGGCCTGGCTTGGGCCCTGCTCCACTGTCCATCATTTCAAGACAATAGGCAAGATCTCCTACACAGGTCAGGAGGGACAGATTTCAGTTCCAGTCCTGTTGCTTACCTGCGGGGGAGATCCTAGGAAAACCCATGCCTCTTTCCGTGTCAGTTTCCTCATCTGTGAAAAGGGGCTACTGATAGATCTGTCTGGTATCAACCATAAAATGCAGGTAGCAATGGTGCTTCCTCATACCCAGAGGTTCCTGAACTGGCTCAGCTCCCAGCACCCTTAGCACCTCAGTAATTTTTTTTCACCGTGCACCAGGCTCAAAGAAATACTTAACAGTTACTTATTAAGCAATTCATTTTAAACAACTTAATAAATGTAGTCTGCACAGTACCTAACAGATGTTATGGTGTTTCCCTCAAAATTTTAAAATTTTTTGCGGTGCCTCTATGAGAATTCTGCCACGCCTCGGGGTTCCGTGGCACATGGTCTAGGAATTGCAGCCACACAGTTCTGAAAAGGAAAGGAAGTTACCCATGGCAAGGGCTTAGCATGGTACCTGGTCTGGAGTAGGAGACAAATAAATGTTGGTTGTCCTGCGTGATCCTTCAAGTCTCTAGTTCTTTCTGGGTCTTCTGCCACTGCCACCCAGCCATCCCTCCTGCCTCCAGCTCCCGCCATCTGCTGATTTCTGCTTGCCATCTTCCCTCCGGGCCCCTCCAGGCCTGTGGCCCCACTTCTGAACTAACTTCCTTCCTGGTGCAGAATTATTGGTTTGCTCCTTCATCCCCCCGACCCGAGCTCCACAAATTTGACATGACCTCTTCCTAAGGGGGATGCACCTCCGTGCCCCTTAACTTCGGGATTGGCCACGTGACTCACTTTGCCCAACAGTACATGTGAAAGTGACAGTGTGACATCTATGAGCGTATACCTTAAGAGTCCTCATGTGGTTCCACTTGCTCTCTTATCCTTTGTCAATGGGAAGGGAAGGACACGCCCCTGTGGCCCAGTGACTCCAGCGGGAGGATGAGAGACCCGTGAGTGAGGCTCAGATCTGCACATCTCCAATCTGACACAGACCGTCCCCACCAAGCCACAAACTCCAAAGTGGAAATAAACGGTCGTTTGTAAGTCTGCAGTTGTGGAGAGGCTTGTTACACGGTGCCCTTCTGGCAATCCAACCTCTGTATCTGTGGCAAATTCACATTCTCCAAGAGAAGATCTGATTGGATCATGAGGTCACCACCCGGAACACAGTTCCTTTCACACCAGTCACCCCCAAGCAGAGGATCTCCTTCCCGCCCAGTCTCTGGATGACCGAGATGACGGCTGTGGGCGGGGCACCCATCTCTGATCCAGACAGCTGCCCCATAATTACCAGGTCACGTGACATGGAGCCTGGTGACCTGCTGAGAAGAAACCATTTCTGGCCCCTGTGTTCCAAAGGCGTGTGAACGCGGCAGGTGAAAGTTTCTCAGATCCTCTTTGGTTCTTAAGGGTGACAGCTGGCCCTGGCTGGTGAGGCTCAATTGGTTGGAGCAGCATCCCGTAGACCACAGGGGGCAAACACAAGGCCCGCAGGCCAAATCTGGCCCCCCACCTTGTTTTATCCAGCCCTCCACCTTGTTTCTACCCGGTGGCAGTGCCGAGCTCTTGCTTAACTGTGAAGGAGTAGTTATACTTATACAGCCCTGAAATTACATTCGGCCCTTTGAAGGCAACCACACGGCTGATGTGGCCCCCGGTGAAAATGAGTCTGACACTCTTGTCATGGACCGAAAGGTTGTGGGTTTGATTTCAGGTCGGGTCATGTGCCCAGGTTGCTGTTTCAATCCCTGGTCAGGGCGCATACAAGAAGGCAACCTATGAACGCTTCTCTCTCACATTGATGTTCCTCTCTCTCTCTGCAGTCTCTCCAATCCTCTCCATCTAAAAAAGCAATTTTAAAAATGTCCTCGGGTAAGGATAAAAAAAAAAGAAAGGAATTTCAAAAAGAAAAGGAAGAGTGACAGCTGGACAGGGAGAAATTGTATATAGAATTTTCTCTGCGTGTGGCTGTCAGGATGCATCTCAGCCTGGAAACCCTAGTGTACAAGAAATGTGACATTTCTTACAACTCAATTTAGTAACTCTTTTGAGCCTCGTCACACTGAAGACAGAAAGGACGAGGTCTAAGTTCACGTAGGAAGTTTGGTAGAGCTGGGTGAGAACCCAGGTGTCCCGGCTTCCTGCCCAGCAGCCCTCGCAGCCCAGTCCATCTCACACTGGGAAGGAGCCCCAGGCCCCGCTGCCGAGCAGCGAAGCCCCTTCTCCAGCCTTCCTGATCTTCTGGGCTGTGCTTCCATGCTGCCCTGAGTGCCCACTGCTCGGAAGAGTTCCAAGCCACGCTTTCCTCCCACTGAGTCCCAACCTGCCTCCCTGCGTCCTGTACCCACTGCCCTCGCTGTATATTCCAGAGCTACACTCAATGTGCACTTTTTTCTTTAATTCACAAACATTTGCTACAATTTGTACTTCTATAAATTCTATTTATTTTTTTCAAGTCTACCTTTTTACCGAGGTATAACTGACATGCAACTCTATATTAGTTTCAGGTGTACGACAGTGATTTGACATTTGCATGTATATTGCGAAATGATGGCCACAGTAAGTGCAGTTAACATCCGTCACCACACATAGTTATAGGGTATGTGTTTCCTGCGATGAGAACTTTGGAGATGTACTCACTCAGCAGCTTCGAATACGCAGCGCAGCACTGTTAACCACAGTCGTCGTGCTGTGTGCTGCATCCCCGTTACTTATTTATTCTACAACCAAGTCTGTACCTTTTCACTCTCTTCACCCATTTCGCCCCCCACCCTGCCCACCTCTGGCAACCACCAGCCTCTCAAGTCTGCCTTTTTAAAATAGTGTCTTTATTCTTACAGGTTTTATTCCTTTTTGCATGACTAATTTTTTAATTCTTCTCAAAATACTTTGTTATCCTCATCAGAAGTTCTTGGGGGCAGAGGGGTCTGATCGTGCTGTTGAATGTGTCTGCTGACTCCCACTTATGGTGGGTTGGCCCTTGTGGGTTTCGTAATTTCGGACTGTGAGTTCCTCTTCAGGGAAGTTTTATCCCGGGGCAGCTTGGTGGCCTGGGTTGAGGGCAGCCCCTCCAAAATGGTTTGTGTTTGTTTTGAGAATCACCTCACCTCTTTATCTGGGATCACTCTGTAAATTTTAGTTTGGGGTTCCTAGCTCATGTGGATGAAATAAAAAGTTGTCAAGAATCTATATGAGAATAGATCCTACTTATTTGCCTCATGATATTAATTTGATTATTGTTTGTGTTTGTCCACTTGGATGCCAGCTCTGGGAGAGCAGAACATGAGTCTCCAATTTTGAGCTATATACAGCCCTGGGGCCTCCAGCAGAACTTGACACACAGTAGGCACTCAATGTTTGCTGAAAGAGAGGATGAAAGCATATCCACTTCACCGTGTGTTGTGAAGGGCACATGGTGTATCAGTTACTAGGGCTGTGTTTGCTCAATTAGAAATGAGGTTCAGTGTCTCACAAAACAGGCAAATGCTCGATTCTGTGAGGCAGGGGTTTCAAATGCCTGTGTGGTTTTCTTGTCTCAGGGTTGCAAGGTGGTTACTGTAGCTCCAGGCATCACATCCACATTCAAGGCAGAAGGATGGGGAAGAAAGTGGGAACAAAGGGGGAGCATCACTGACATTTTTCCTTTTACCAGCTGGGTGAAAGTTTTCCTAGAGGTCGGACAGCAAATTTCTGTTTTGCTCTCATTTACTGGAAATGGGACACGTGGGCACCCCAGAAGCAAGGGGACTTGGAGAGCCAGCACTTCCCTTTATCCAGACTGTACGGATAGGTGTGGGAGGGAGGGGTCAGGGCACAGGTGGAATAGACAGGGTATTTGCCCCAAATGACTGTATACATGCATATATAAAATATATTGTTATATGTGATACGTATTATACAATAAATAACAAATGAGGTTTTACATATAAATAATAGAGATATATATTTTATAGAGAGAGATTATAGGTACATGTATCTTAGAACCTTCAGAAGGGAACACCTATTCTTAAAACAATTACTGTTCTTACCACATAAAGCTCTGCAGTCTCTGTGATCCTACTGATGTCAGCTCCTGGATTCCGGAACTCACAGGCACGGAGGCACCGATATCCCGGTGGTCTCCCTCCACCGCTCCCTTCTTTCTCTCTTTAGAGCACTGATGCCCTTTAAAAAAAAAAAAAACCTACATTTTCCAATGTGAGCCGCTTCCTGATCTCATTAACCTCATCCTCGGTGACTTGGCCAGAGCCTGCTCCCAGCCCGCAGCAGGCAGGAGACTGTGTAAGTCAAAGGTCCCTCAGGCCCATCACCAGGTCAGTGTCAAGGTCTCTCCCAAGGACACCGAGATGAAAACAGCAGAAGAGCCAGCCCCGAATCTTGGGCAGACCCTGGAGTGGCTGAGAAAGGAACTGGTAAGGCTTCCTGTTTCTTTTTACCTGATGCCTCCACCCCAAACGTCCCAAGGTGTGCTGGTGCCCGCTTCCCAGGTGCCCCACTGGCTGGGACAGGGATTGCGGGCTGGGGTGTGGGCTCTGTAGGCTCCCCTCTGGGGCCAGCCATGCAGTGCACAATTGCCATCTCAGGTACAGGGATAAGTAGGTCATGGCCTACATAGGCAGCTCTGGGGGCAGTGCTTGCCAGACTGGTTTTAGAATATACTGAGTCCTGGGTATGTGCCCGCCTCTGCTGCCGAGTGGCTTCTAGCAAGTGGCTTTCACTCTTTGAGCCTCAGTTTCCCTATCGTAAGACAGGGACAACAGTAGCACCAACACTGCAGGGGTTACTGTAAGAATTTAGGGAGGAGATGTGTAATTCCCTCAGTGTCTGCTTCGCACACCTACGCTGGCTATTCCAGTCCTAACCCAGGTGGGCCTGGAGTACACTCACCGTCTTAGCCTGGGCGTACACCACGTCCAGCTGGTCGGGACTGTAAACGGAGGCTCGCACAAAGGGTGGGGCACTAACGACTTACCCGGAGGTGCAAGGCCAGAGCAGTGAGAGTGAGAGAAATAGCGAGTGGAAGCAAAAGCCGAGGCTGTGGGAGACGAGACAGGCACTGTGGTACCAAGCTGACGGCCACTTTGGAAGGAGTCTTAAGGAGGCCCAGTGGATGGACCTCTCAAGAGCGGGTTTATCTGGCTGCAGGCTTTCTCTGCAGGGGTTGAGGGATGAGCTGCGCCCTGGGGGACAGAGAAAGAAGAGGAGGGGTATCTTCCCAGCTCATTCATGTCTCCCATTGCCTGATGGTGAAGGTCCACCCAGGGGCCCTAACTCTCCTGAATGAAACTAACTCTCCGAGTTCTGTTTCTTGGTCTTCTGGTGGCTGCTCCGGATGCTAGGCCTTATGCCTCTCCCTGTGGTGTTTTCCCCAAGAACAAAATTAGAAGGGTGGCCCAAAGTGTATGGGGACATCAGCTAAGCGCAAAAGGCAGTTCAGGGAACCCTGGAAGGCACCCAACGTGTGTATCCCATAATACCCCAGATTCTCCTTCTTGGGAAGGACAGGCAGGACTGCCCCAAAATGACTTCTCTGGATCTCTGCACAAAAGATCAACTCTGCCCTGGGTGGGCGGGGCTAACCTGTAGGACTTCTCTTGGGACCAGGGGACTCCAACTGCAGGGGCCTGAGCTTGTTAGAGTCCTCAGGCCCCCAGGGGCTGGCCAGGGGGCCTTCCCCATGCTCCCCTGAACACTGGGCGCCCATGCGGAGACTGAGCTGTTGCATGGAGGGGTGAGGAGGGGGGTACTTTACACTATATGCCCCATCACAACTTTTAAATTTTATATCACGAATAAGAATGGCCTAGTCAGGGTGTAATTTTAACATCTTACTAGAGGAAGCATCAGAGAGAAAGCGTGTGGAGGGAAACACCCCTAGGGGGAGTGGGAGGAGTGGAGACGGTGAGGGAGCGTTGTTGTTGGGTCTCGAAGCAGCACTTCTCAGAGTGTTTGGTCTTAGAAGCCTTCACGTTCTTAGAAGTGATTAAGGACACAGAAAAGCTCTTGTGTATGTGAGTTATAGCTATCGATATTGATCACATCAGACAACAAAATTGAGAAATTTTTAGCAGTTATTTATTCATGCATTTAAAAATAACAATAGTTGCCCTAGGTGCTGTGGTTCAGTAGATTGAGTGCCAGCCTGGGAACCAAAGTGTCTTGGGTTCAATTCCCAGTCAGGGCACATGCCTGGGTTGTGGGCCAGGTCCCCAGTATGGGGGTGCATGAGAGGCAACCACACATTGATGTTTCTCTCCCTCTCATTCTCCTTCCCTTCCCCTGTCTCTAAAAATAAATAAATAAAATCTTTAAAATAAAATAAAAAGCAATAATAATAGCAAACTCATTACATGTTAATAAAATATTTTATTTAAAATAACAGTATTTTTGCCCTGGCCTGGTGGCTCAGTTAGTTGGAGCATCGTCCTATGTACCAGAAGGGTTCATAGTCCCTGGTCAAAAGGTTGCGGGTTCAGTCCCTAGTCAGGGCACATATGGGAGGCAACTGATCAATGATGTTTCTCTCTCACATTGATGTTTCTTTCTCTCTGTCTTCGTTTCTGTCTCTCTCTCAAATCAATAAGCATATCCTCCGGTAAGGATTAAAAAATAATAATAACAACTATGTTTTCCAAAGAGAATACCCAATGAGGAGAGTGGCACTGTTTCACCATGTCGCAAATCCCTTTAGTGTCGCCCTTAATAAGGCACAGCTGGATTCCATCTGCCTCCGCATTCAGTCTGAAGCCATGCCACATCCCATGGCTTGTGGGAAACTTCGCTGTATGTTCATAAGATGAAAATGAAAAGGGCAATAATATCTTAGTACTGTAATGAAAGTTGCTGACCCCCTGAAAGGGTTTTGGGGACCCAAGGACTCCCCGGACCTTATACTGAGAATCAGCGCTCTGAAGCGCTCCTGCCGGCCAGCAGGGTGAACTTCACTTTACTATGAAGTCACCGGCACCTGATTAGCTATACAAGGATTTGTTACAGTGAGGATTACACATACAATTGGGGTCATAAATAAGAAGAATAATATTTAATATCGATGATGATGATGATAATGAAGACAATCACAGACCTTGGTAGGGCGGCATGTTTAGAGCGGGAACCAATCCACTCGGTCCTTGTATTGCTACTGGGCCAATGTCTGTGTGCCCAGTGCTTCAAAAGGCCGGAACCCAGAATGTCAGGGTTTAGAGTAAGGGAAGGCGTGTTCATCAAGAAAATACCAACCGAGAAGATGGGGCACCTAGCAGTGCCTCAGATCCACCTTGCTTGCTGGACTGGGTTAAGAGTTTTTAAGAGGTTAGGGGGAACAGGTATGCAAAAGCGCTGGTGGGGCAAGTTTTAACTGGAGGACCTTGGTTCTTGGCCATTTATAGTAAAGGGGCATCAATATCAGGTCTTCCTGGATAATAGACCCCTGACTTCTGGAAGGTCCCAGTGTTCAAGTTCTGGTTATATCCTGGTCATTTGGCTCCACAGGGGGTAAGGGTGGGGTAGGGTGAGACTTTGGTTCCAGGTGCAGCTGGAGGCCCAAGTTCTTTCCCTTGCACCATGCCCTAGCTGCCTGACTGTGGTCTTGGTCTTTGTCTGTGAAAAGCAGCTCAGTATCTCGTTAAACAACATAGGACCATTTTGAGCTGGTTACAATAAGAGCCTTGAAAGGTTAAGCAATTTGCTTTCCACTTTGCAGAAGAAGTAGCTGAGGCTTTGGTGGAACCAGCTTCCTGGAGGTTGTGAGCGTGTCTCTGATGAGACAGTGATGGGAACGGGCTTTCGGGGGCCCAGTACTCTGCCTGCCCCTCGCAGACTTGTTTTCTCTCCTAGGCTGAGATGCAGATCCAAGACCAGAAGCTCCTGCTCACACTGAGGCACCTCCACAGCGTCCTGGAGGAGCTGCGTTCTGAGAGTGCCCACTGGGAGGACGCCAGGTCCAGCAGAGGGGCATCACCCATCAGAGCTCGAGCAGGCTCTGAAGGCAGGGGTCACCCTCCCATGTTGTCCAGGCGCCTGGCCCAGCTCCTCCAAGGGGTAGACAGCAGGCGAAGCTCCCTCCCTTAAATGGCTAAAGGTGACGGTGGGCTTGAACCCTCCCACCAGTAGTCTAAGTTTTGTGACGTTGTTGGGGGAGAGCACTGGAATGGGAGTCAGGAAGTCTCTAGCTTCACCTCTGCCCTCATCCACTGAGTGTCCCTGGATGCATCACTCAGCGTCTCTATGTCACTAGTTCCTTTTCTGTCACTTATCAGCATTTTGGATGAGATGTCACAAAACTGGATGTGAACATGCTTTGAAAAACACAGCTATTTTACATGGCTTCTGGAAAGCACCATGAAGTAGTCCTATCTTTGGGCATTTCTCAAAACATGATTGTTAAAACAAAAAGCTTAATGTGTGAGGATGTTCATCCAGCCTTGCCATCATGAACAACAGAACTCTGTAAAGACAGGATGGTTGTTTGCTGTTTCTCCATCAGGCCTTCTCGTTCCCCTTTGTCTGAAAGCAACAGACCTTGCCACCCTCTGGCCATACAGATGGACAAGTGGTCAGGCCTGCTCAATTTTAATGCATGATCACCCTAACAATATGATTGGCCCAGTGGGTTGCCATGTGACTCATCATAGCCAATCACATCCCTTCTCTGGGATTGCTAGCCAGATGTTGGTTCTACTGCAGTTGCAAAGCTGGGGCTGCCAGGGGCCTTATTCCCCGCCAGGTGGGGCAGACCTGTCTGTGCTCAGAAAGAAAGAGGCTAACTTGACAGAGAAATAGAGAAAGGGCCACACAAGACACAGGCTTGCTCTTTTTAGTCCCTGGTTTCAGGACCTACTTCTGTGAGTTACTCCTGCCTTCTTTCCAGTGACTGAAACCAGTAAATTCCACCACCATCACATACACCAATTTGTTTTTGCTTAAGCTGATTTGAGTAGGGTTTCCCTCCTTTGCACCCAAAACAGTCCTGAGGAATACAGTGCAGATGGTCAAAGAAGCAAAGAAGGGAAATGGCGAAGAAAACAGCACCTCACTCATTCAGAGTTGGCAGTAACGACGCTGTAACAGCTGACAGCAAGGTTTGTGATGTGGCAGAACACTGGGCTGCATGGGGTGCTGGGGTTGGAACCCTGAAAATTTTGTCCACCTGTAAGAAAGACTTTAAAATGGAAGAGGTAGATATAAAAAGTCCTGTTGTTAAGATAGTCTGACTATTGGTAGACCTTTTTATTTTTGATTGACTTGCATGCTGTTAGAACATTGTATTTATGGCTTTGAAAAAGTAAACCCATTGCATATAGAAGCAAAGTGAAGATGTTGCTTATATGTATGTTTATTGTCAGACTAACCTGGGATATTTTATATCATATTGGATAATGTAAAAATTCTTCTCTGGCCCTGGCCAGGTAGCTCAGTTGGTTGGAGCATTGTCCTGAAATGCCAAGGTTATGGGTTCAACCCCCAGCCAGAGCACATACAAGAATCAACCAATGAATGCATAAATAAGTAGAACAACAAATTGATGTCTCTCTCTCTTTCTCTCTCTCTCCCTATCTCCCTTTCTCTCTCACTTTAAAATCAATAAATAAAAGTTAAAAATTAATATTTCCCTGTCTATTGACAACTGAATAGATAAACAAAATAGGCTATACGCATAAAATGGAATTTCATTCAGCCTTAAAAAGGAAGGAAATTCTGGCACATGCCAGAACATGGATGAGCTTTGAAGACATGATGCTAAGTGAAATAAGCCAGTCAATCACAAAAGGACAAATATATGATTCTGTTTATGTGAAATGCCGAGAGCAATCAAATCCATATAGACGCAAAGTAGAATGGCCGCTGCCATGACTTTGAGGAGTGAGGGGTGGGAAGTTGTTGTTCAGTGGACACAGAGTTTCAGTTTTGCAAGATGAAAAACATTCTGGAGATGTATGGCAGTAATGGTGGTAGAACAATGTGTATGCAGGTGATGCCATTGAACTATTAACAACCACACCTAAAACAAAACCAAACACAAACTAAGCAAACAACTAGAACAGGAACAGAACCACAGAAATGGAGATCACATGGAGGGTTAGCAACAGGGGAGTGGGAGGAGGAGAGAGGGGGAAAAGGTACAGAGAATAAGTAGCATAGATGGTAGGTAGAAAATAGACAGGGGGAGGGTAAGGAACAGTATGGGAAATGTAGAAGCTAAAGAACTTATGACACATGGACATGAACTAAAGGAGGGGAATGTGGGTGGGAGAGGGTATGCAGGGTGGAGGGGAATGAAGGGGGGTAATGGGACAACTGTAATAGCATAATCAATAAAATATATTTAAAAATGTTACAATGGTAATACTTATGTTATATTATCTTTTATCACAATTAAAAATAAGTACTTATAAAAAAACAACAACCTGCACTGTGATGCCGGGGCTGGAGCCCCGTGAACCACATTTCTGTGTTACCAGTGCTCCAGGTGAGAGTTCGTTAGACTTTGCCAACCACCAGGGTAAGGCTAGAGGGACACCCCAGGGCTGGAGGAGGCAGAAAGAACTTCATTCTTCATCCTTGTTCTCTGTGGCTTCCTGTTCCTATGAGCACCACCCAGCAATGCTTCGTCATCTCACAGCAGCAATTCCTCCCCACGGCACCAGCCAGCACCCCCTTCTCGAGCCTCTGGGTCCCAGACCCCGTGGGCATTCACCAGATGCCGCAGCAAGGAAGATACATTTGGAGATTCACACACAGGCTCTTTCACACTTTAGTCAGGATGTGATGTGTGTTTCTTCCTCCCACAGCCCATCGGCTAGAATAAGTCCTGGGGTCTGTCCCAGGAAGCAGCTGGGACATGTGGGGAACAGAGGGAGAGGCTGGTGAGTGCCACAGTGTCAGACACACGCTCCGTTCTCTCTCAACAGCCCAGCCTCCTTGTCCTGCCAGAGCACTAGGAGCATCTCTGGTTCCAATGCTTGTCTTTGACCCTGACACGGAGCTCCTAAAACTCTTGTAAATTCCTAAGTGGCGTTGACTCTAGATGGGCTCCTGGGTGGCTCCTGGACAGGGGCCGGTCACCAGAAAGACCAAGTCCTGACTTGAAGCTTGGAATTTTCAGCCCACCCCCATCCTCCAGAGAGGAGAGAGGGGCTGGAAACGGGGGTAGTAATTGCTCATGCATGCTTGGGGAAGTCTTCATAAAATCCCAATAGTAGGGAATTCGGGGAGCTTCCAGTTCGGGAAACACATTCACGTACCGGGAGGCTGTAGATGTTCCTCTGCCCTGGGGACCCTCCCAGACATTGTCTTACGTTGTCTCCTTATCTGGCTGTTTGTCCGTATCCTTTAATAAACTGGTAAAGGGAAATAAGGGTTTCCCTGAGTCCTGTGAGCCATTCTAGCAAATTAACTGAACTCAGGAAGGTGTCATGAGAACCTCCGATTTTTCGGCAAGTTGGACAAAAGTTGTCGGTAACCCGGGGACTTACTACTCTCGATTGGCTTCTGAGGTGGGGCGGGAGCAGGCCCGGGAACTGAGCCCTTCAGCTGTGGGATCTCCAGGTAGTGTCAGAATTGGGTTAAATTGTAGGACACCCAGCTGCTGTTGTGAATTGATTGGTGTGGGGAGAAACACCCACACATTCGGTGACCAGGTGAAGTATACTGTGTAAAAGTAAAGGAGAAACACACAGGAGGTGGAGAACTGGTTTTTTTCCTAATCAAGAGGGAAAGACTAGGTTTTCCTATTTGGGCCTAAGAAGCAATGGCTAAGGGAGCAAAAGCAGGAGAGTTGAGAACAAATTAAACTGGCAGTTCGCAGTTTGGTTTTTGACAAATGCTTCTGTGTCCCATAGCCAAGTGCTGTCAGCCTAGGGTAAGTAATCTGTGGATGAGCGCCACCTACTGTCCATGCACAGTAATCCTTCCGGGAACCCGCCTGCTTTGGGTTGTAAGACCGTCTCCTTCACTACCTCTTTTCTTACTGTGGGACATCTTATTGAGAGGGCCAAGGAGGGTAAGGTTTTCTGACCCTTGAGATCTGGGTTTGAGTTTCAGCTCTGCCCCTGAATGACCCAGGGCAAGTCACTTCTCCTCTGAGCTTCCATTTAACCTTAACTCTAAAATAAAAATGAGACCTCTCAGATCTGTGAAGAGGGATCTTGGGAAAATGTTTTGTAAACTGGGAATAACCAGAGGCAATGGAAAGAGCATTGTGTGCAGTTGCATAGGCCTGGATTCATTTTTAAAAATACTTACTGCTCACCAGCTGCAGCCCAGCCACTATTTGGCATGTGGGAATGTAGCAATGAATAAAACAGACAAAATTCATGTTTTCGTGTAGTTAGCGTTCTAGTGTTCCATTTTCTGAGTCATTCATCCATTCATCTACAAATACTTTTCTGATATCACTATGTGCCGGGCACTTTCTTAAGCAGCGGGCGTCGAGGGACTGCAGTATGGCTAGAGCACAGGAAGCAGTAAAACAGGGTTGGGCTAGGACAGAGCCAGGCTTTATGGTGCCTGAGGCTTTTCAAATTTGGAATCCTCTTTTCTTAAAGAAGAAGAACAAATGTCATAAATGCAGAATTCAGTTAGAAAGGAAATGTTTGTGGAATGACAGAAGAAATGAGAAATTACAAAATTTAAAAAGCTGACAAATATCATGAACATCATACAATCTAGACATAACATTTTTATTGATTAGCTGCATGATATAGCTCTATAATAATTTTTCTTATACAGTTTTGCTGTAGATTCTGCATGTTCATAAGACAATTAGTTTTGTGGTCTTTCTATAAACATATAAAAGAAATAATTCAGTCTTTACAAGATTAACTTTTGTGTGAATAGTTTAAACATTTTTCTTTAAGTTGTAAAGTTTGACAACATGTTAATTTTTAAGACCACTGTCAAATTTGGGACAACCCCTAAGTTTTTTCCATATGTAAGATGTGAGTCTTCAGGGACCATGACGAGTTGTAAGTACTCTTTGAGTTGGCAGCACTTTGACCACTTTGTCAGTTCCTCCCAAAATGATTAAATCTTCATCCATGTTAGTATTTCATGTCAAATAAGTGAGAAAT